TGTCCCACCCGTCCCTTGTGCCACCTATGCCCATGAGCGCACACACTAAACTTGAATTTGTTCAGATAACACTACATAGCATCCAGCAGAATTAAGAACCTCCGAGGAGATAGAAATGAGGCAAAACAAACGGACGAGACAGCTTTTTGACTCTTTAAGCAAAGAACTGTTCAGCAACCAGCGGTAATCAATTAGTCAGAATGAGTTCATATCCTTTTTCTTTCCCCTTTGTGCTTTTTTAATTTAATCCTTATTCGTCATCACCGCAACGCAACGCCTTGTAGAAAACCTTGAGTTCAGAGGGAATCGTGAATTAGTGTTCTCAGCCTAAAACAATTTATAATCAGCTGAAGCGCGAGAGTATATCTAATGAGCGCATGGTTTTCATTATAATCTCTCTGACCTTCACTCTCGTCTGCGTTGTCCTCATCGTCGTCGGGTGATGCTGTGGCTAGACCTTCACCTTGAGACCTATCAGCCCGGGTTCGCCTCGTATCCTGGAAAACATAAACAGTGTTGTATTTATACGGAGTCTGCAACGACAGCGTTGGAGTGAACGGCAGATAGCAAGTCGCTCACCTGCTTATGCTGCTGGAGTAGGTTGTCCAGGTTGTGACGTCTCTTGTAATTGAAATAGAAGTTCTTGCACTGAGCTTCACTTTTAGTGCCTACCATTTTGGCAATGGCTGTCCAGTTTCGCCCGTGCTCGACAAGCCCTGGTCCAAGACAAGAACAAGAAAGTCTAGCAATGAAAATGTGTGGCCAACAATAAACCTTGTTTTTTTTTTTTTTTTTACTTATTACACACTTTTACACTCACTTCATAACTAAAAAAAACCCTGATTCAGGCTGACACCGTTGCCATTAATAACTAGATTGTTATTTCTAATTGATAAAACTAATAGCATATAATACTGATGATAAAGTTTTTTTCCATGACTGTACCGTTGAATTTTAACAGATTGTTTGACAGTATATAAATTGTAGTGTGGTTAATCTACTCCTAGTCTCTCTCTTTTCCATTTCCTCCTCTCTGCTGCCTCCCCTCCCCTTCCCTTCTCCCATCACTCTTCGCCTAAGCAGACTGCTGACCACCAAAGTCTGGACCAGCTTGAGAGTTGTTCTTGATATGCAAGTTTTTTTTTCCCTTCCTACCATTACAAATGGCTTGCTCAGAGAACACTCTAATATATTTTTGTCTCTAGTAACATGGCAACAAGAAATAGTCAGGGGAAGGTAGAAACGGCAGAGAATTGTGAGAACCAAAGCCAAGAAAAAAAAAAATCATTTGTAACACTACCTTTTTTGGCCACCTCCATCTCCTCCTCGGTCCAGCGAGAAGTTTCTCCGGTCTCACCAGCACCAGCTAAATCACAAAGAAACAAAAGAAACGCCCCATAAGCACCGACAGAGAGAGACAGAGAGCAATAAACAACGAAGGGAGGCAGAAAGAGAGAGAGTGACAGCTACTCTTCAACCGTCTTCTTCTCATGGCCCGTGATCTAATAATCTGTTTACATTCATGGGCTGCCGAGACCTGCTCCCTCACTTACGCTCTGCTATATCTTTCTCTCTCCACCACGCACAGCCAGCCCTTCCCTCTCTGTCTTTCTCTTACTGTTCCCTTCTGCCTCATTGCACAGCCCAGTACAAATCCTCCTCCCCATAATCCGCAAGGGGAGGTCGTTTGTCAGCTGATCAGCAGAATCAGACGGTGGAAGAGTTGAGGGGCTGAGTCTAACTCTTTGGGAAAAGGCCTTGAATTGAGACAAACATTCAGATAGGACAGTTAACCCAAGCCAACTTCCCTCTTCACTGTCACACTCACACTGAAACACACACACACTCTTCTTGCTTTTGCCTCGACTGCACAGTTTCATTCGCACACAGAAACAAAATGTGCACTGTTGGCACGGTGGGGGCTGAGTAAACTTTGGTCCACTCTCCTCCATGGCACAGACTCTATCTGTGTAAACAGTTGGACTAATATAGCAGCCAGTGTACCTGCGACATTATCAGGAACCTTGCCACCAACCACAAACCTGACATAAAGGTGGGCGGCGGGGAGAGAGAGAAAAAAAACGACAGTTAAAATGGCCACAGAAATCCCCTTCTGATAAACACATGTAAGTTTCTCTATGACTGAGGCGAGGGTACAGCAGAGTGTTTTAAAGAAGACGATTCATTTCAAGTTTTGTCACTCCAGACCAATGTCATGACACCAGGAGTCAATAATCAAACACTCATATGTGGTGAGCAGTTTCCAAAACCTAAATGTATGACTTTTTAAATGAAAAAGTCTTGACTCATTCGGAGGCTTCAGTTCACCGCCGTACTTAACTCAAAGCACCACTTCCAGGGAAATGCTTTTTAACAAATGAGAAAATAAAATTAATTATACTGGCAGATTGAGTTGGCTGTTTTTTTTTTTTTTTAATACCTGGCCTTGGACACACAACCTATTTTTATAAAAACCGAGAAGAATGAACAAAACATCACACAAAACATTTATGTATGTTGGAAACAAGGCCAGATAGAGGATTGACAGGACAGAAGGACAGAATGTGAAAAGTAAATCAATAACAATAAAGACCGGACCTTGCACGACACACTTTTACAGCTTTAAAAAAAAGAGGAGACTTTAAAGTGTGGAAGTGCATAACCAATTACCATGACAACAGCAGAACCAGAGCCAGGGATTGCTTGGTAATGGACAGACCACAGAAAGCTTCCTGTGTTTCGTGTAAGACCAAGCTCATCCGACACCTGGCACTTAGAGTCTGTACCTTCTGAGCCGCCTGTCCGCTTTCAGGATAAACCTACTTGGGTCATGACACAATCAGTTGTGTAAACCCTGTCAAAGCTTTAGTCCGACATGTGTCTGAACATTATGATCCAATGTGAAGTGGGCAGTCTAATTCTAGGCTGTAGTCCCAATTCAGGGCTGCTGTTTACATACAAACAGACAATCAGATCAGACCACAAGGGGAGAGTGTTATGTAAAATGAGGATTACCAAGCCATTATTATAAACATTTTTTTACACACCACATAGTCAGGAGTATGGAGGTTGATTAAGAAAATTGCTTGTTGGTGTCCCTGCTCTAAAATTGCTAAAACATATTTTCACAATACCAGGATTGTATTGGTGGCTACAAACAAAGAAAAAAAAATATTTTTTTTTTTCGAAAGAAAAAAATATATATATTTTTTTTTCATTTTAATACTACTTAAAAATCTGCAGTCAATCAAAATAGTACGTAAGTCTCTGGGTTTTGCAAAATGACGTGCTCTAAAAATAGTGCAATGCCCCAGCGACAGAAATGTCAGGTGCCTCAGTGCTCTGAAGAATTTGTTATTGAAACACAAAGCTCTAACCTCATTTTAAACTCCTTTACTGATCTCATCTTATAGCTTCTCCAAAAACACCTTTTCCTCCTCTCATACTCTCCGGTCTCTCTCTCTCTCTCTCTCTCTCTTATCCTCATCCACACACACACCCTAACCACAACTCCCCATTCCCTATCCCACACCCCTAACTGTTAACCTCCTAACACATGAACACAACATTATCAACGACAAACAAGCCTCTAGCCACTAGGGGGCAGCATTGTAGCTCATTATATTAATCTATTTAGTTACAATCGGGATTGTATGCAGAATGCTGATGCCAGCAACATAAAGTGGTTAGTACAGATAAATAAATAAATATTACCAGGTGCTAAATGGTATTTTAATTCTGTCCCCTAGGGGGGGCATGGCAGAAAATAATTGAGAAACACTTCTTTAACCCATCGCCTTAGTGAGTAGACCGCACTTAAATTCTTTAAGCAGGCCACCGTTACTGCCGTTATATCGATATAGGTTGATATCAAACGCCCGGACATCCCTACCGAAAACCTTTTGTAATTACTGCAGTGCAACGTTTCCTTTGGATTGCACACAATGTTCACACAAAAGAGCAAAAAAAGTGAGGAATCACCTTTAGTAGTATCCAAGGCAGACAGTGGAGTTTTTGCAGCGTCTTTCATGGCTTTTTGTGCTGGGTCAGTTCTAGGGAGCTGCGGTGGATCTGGCACACCAGACTCCTGGGCAGAGGGGGTTGTTTCCTCAGCTGCCACAGTTGCAGCCTCATTGGCCATGGAGCGTGTGGTAATCCTTCCCTTACGACGGCCCTGGCTGTTGGCAGTTTTCCTGCGTGGGGTGTTTTGCTGTTTTCCGTCCTCGTCCTCCCCGCCGTCACACTTGTCTTTGTCCTTGCCAATGTCCCTGTGGTTGTGGAAAAGGAACGTACAGCTATGGTGCCAGTTGGTAGCACAAATATCGGTTCTCTTCTGACTCAGCAATTATAGACTCTTTTAGTGATCTGTATTTTGCTAGAACCATACATGAGTAAGGTTATGGAGTTTGTACAAACTTAACAGGAATTAAACAACTTTAAAATTATGTTAATTATAATTTTAATTGTAAATTATGACGTTTAACAAATCAAATGCAAACACTACTGTAATTAAGTTCAGATGACATTCGTTAAAATAACTGTAATGGATAGGTGAGTGAAGGTCTTTCTAATCAGCAGTTTTTCCAGATTACAATATCTGCGAAAAGCACTTTTAAAACACCTACTCGAACTGGTTTTGCGCAAAAACGAGATTTTTGAGTCAGAATGTTATTTAAACATTTAATGGACTTTTTGCAAGGAATTCTTGCTTTAAACTACAGATTAAAGGGGGCAACTGGAGTTTTAGTCATCATTAGTTCGAAAACATGATTCATGTTTAACCCTTTCATGGATGACGGTCACTACAGTGGACAGCTATGAAAATGTCATTTTCTATGATAAGAATAGGTTTTGATGGCAGTGTTGCATATAAGCCTCTACAGTGGACGCCTGAGAATCACCCAACACTGCCATACAGTGGTCAGCCTTTGCAACTGCAGAATAATTGTGTCAACATTCAAAAAGAAAATTTGGTGTATAAAAACAGAACCAAATAAGTTCTCATTTTTATGTCTAAATACACATAAAAACACTTAGTAACATTTTTTTTAACTCAGTATATCATGGGTCATGCATCAAAGGGTTAAAATGCAAACTAAATTCAACTCTCTTTAGTGCATGTGGTTAAAGTAAATAGAAATCACTTGTGGCCAATGCAGCAACTACATTTTAATCAGTCATGTAAACACTCTTCTTGGCTAAGATTTAGTGTGAATTTATGTTTGCCTGTGAGGGTTTGAGAGAAGATTTGAACAACTGATAACTCACCTAGAATCCTCCTTTTCATCTTTCTCTTCCTCTTCCTTTTTTTCTTCCTCTTCTTTTTTCTCTGACTTCTCAGCTTTATCCTCTTCGTTTTTTTCCTCTGATTTGTCTTCTTGTGAGGGACGTGTTATTTGCTGGAGACAAAACATGAAGTGTTATACATGGGGTTTTTTTTTGGTAAGAAAACTAAAGAAAAATACTGTCTCTAAGAATGGACAGAATGGTAATGGCTATTTGGTTTTGACATTGACCATAAGAAAATGAACAGCTATAGATGTTTTTATACACACAAAATTGTGGTCTCATAGGTAGAAAATATGCAGGAAAATACAGGTACTCCACCGAAAACCGTTTTCTGGCACAGTAATTGTTCTTTAAACTATTCTGCAAACGAGAGGAGGAGGGGATGTCCTTAAACTAAGTGAATATGATTTAGGTATCTCAAAACAAAAAGAATGCACCCCGGCATGTTGAGATCAATATCCCTGCCCACACAGGCAGAGATAGCAGAGCTAACAACAGCAATCAAAGCTGTATTTAAAACGAAAGCCAGTCCAACAGAATGACAGAGAGAAAAGCAACCTTTCTTTATCATCACCACTGGCGAGGTACACCGCAGAATATTTTTTCCTGCTTGCTCCATGAAATCGCTGTCCTGGAACAAGTCTGTCTACGCCAAGCCAAACATCCCATGCTGGTAGCAGATGGGGTCAAGGAATGTGCCTCACTCAGTGGTAAATTCATTAGAGATAGACGGGGGCAAAACATGTATGTATATATACATATATACATACATACATACATACATACATATATATATATATATACACATACATACATATATATATATATATACACATACATACATATATATATATATATACACATACATACATATATATATATATATACACATACATACATATATATATATACATACATACATACATATATATATATATACATACATACATACATACATACATACATATACATACATACATATACACATATATACATATATATACACATATATATACATAGATATACATATATACGTATATCTGTATGCATGTGTATATACATATATACACACATATATACATACATATATGGATCTGTGTTAGCAGATCTGTTGCTAACACAAGAATTCCCCATGGGTGTGATCGATAAAGTTCAAATCATTAGTGATTAGATGTAGTTTTCTTTTCTTGTCCGAAAAAGTGCCTCCAGACAAAAGTGTCCAGTTATATTAGTAGGCCATGTTATAATTCTTCACTTGGGGCCACTACTTTTGAAAGTATGTATTTATTATTATATTTCTGTGTATTGCATGACGTGACATTCCTTTGCATGATGTGTGAGGTTGTGTACGCAGTATGAATGACGGAGCAGAAATAAAAGCTGTAGTCCTCAAGATTGAACAATAAATTGTAAATGTAAAGTCGGATCAATGCGTGTACGTCAGGAAACGTAGTCAAAACTTCAGATAATTCCTCTTGCAATTCATGTCAGTTATTCAGCTGTTGATACGGTTGGTTACTAAAGCCCTTATGTTTGCAGGGCAGTCGTCGCATTCCTAACCTCTTCTACAGTACTCTGCAGTAAAAGCCTCTACACAGATTTTCTCCAAAGCCTCATGGTTTCCGCAGCTCTTTTGTTTTAATTTCTGCTCTTTCCTGGTTTAGATTTCTTCATCTTTTGCAGATTCCCAGGTCTTATTTGACTTATGAAACTACAGAGCCACAAGTTGATTTTCCCTTTCCTACCACACGACGAAGGCAACCGGCAGAAACCTCTAAACTTCAGGGAGTTTTAGAAGATATAGTAGAATAAATAAATAAATAAATAAACAAACAAATAATATGGTAATTATACCGACTTCATGCAAAAAAATGTTTTATGTTTTTGCAAGTTCATTTGTGTACCACTTGCCTGAAGAACGTATAACGGCACGGGAAACAAAACTTTGATTTAAGTTGCAGTTTACAGCATTCGTTTCATGCTTGGATAGGAGTTTTCTGTCCATAGTTGATGAATGCAAAATGATTTTTTCCAGGGACAATGGTAAGTCTGTGTATTACAGGCTGTGTACTACGTGCATAAAATGCTGTGAAATTACATTTTAAGTAGACTGTAAATATAAAAAAATTTTAAAAAAATTACAAAAACTGAAAACGTGGCTTTAAATTATATACAAAGGAAACTGGATAGAAGGCATTTCAAGACATCTACCAAATAGAGTTGTCTGTTCTACATTAATATGAAGGCATAGAGCAAGGCATTAATTACATTAATGATTAATCATTCTAAAGCCCTGGCAGGGCCAATACAGATGTTTTGGGGTTACATATGCCATCTAAAAAGAATTCCCACGTCAGAGCAACAACAAATACGCAGATAAAAGACTGCACCGCTTTCTACACTTGAAATAAAAACTGCTTACTAATGTTTCTCAGAGAGCAAACAATCAAAAAAAACACAGGGGAGCAAATGGCTCTCAGCTCTGAAATAAACTACCACAGCAAAAGTACTGCACAACATACCCAAAAAAAAAAAACAACAACTGCGGTGTCAAGAAAAAAAAAAGGTTTCTGGAGCTAGAAACATACCTGCGCTCTTTTGCTGTTCATAAAACCCCCTAGCTCTGCTGTAAGCCACAGCTTCCCGGTGTTATGAGGACAGTTTACCCTCCAGTAGTTCCGTAATGCTGATAACGACAGCCGTAGAGTGGAAGGACAGCACCATACCAGAGCTCCTTAGAAGGGCTGCCGGGCCACAGCACGGCCACACATATTCCAGGAAAGCGTGTCATCAGGCCGCTTAAGCCACCCAAAGAATTGTCCATCTCACATGCACAC